TGAGACAGAGTCTCACTGTGGTTGCACAGATGAGAGTGAGTGCTCGTGCGTCAGCCCTAGCGTCGAGCAGGCAACCAAACTCCTGGCTCAACAATGCTCCTACTCACCTCCAATGCTGGACTACAGCATGTGCACCGATGCCGGCTAATGTTTTCGTTGAGGGGTGTATGTTTAGTTGGCGCAATTAATTGGTCTTCTATTATAATGAGAGAGGGTCTCGCGTCTGGCTCAGGCGGTTTCGAATCCTGACCTTAGCGAAGTCCACGCGGCCTAGCTCGCCAGAGTGCTTAGGGATTGACAGGCCGTGAGCCACCGATGCCTGGCCGAAAGTTAGGTTTTAATGTTCTGATGACAATGTATATTAAATGATGAATTGATTACATGTGATCTATTAAGTCGCGAAAGGTTGGGCAAAGGAGAACTATGTTATAGTAAGGGATGGGATTTGCAAAGGTGCAAAATGAAAGGGCTATAAAGGTATTTTTTTTTTTCTTTATGTGTTGGCATATTTATGGGTACAGGAATGTTTAAGTTTCAAAGATGCCCATTTCCCCCCGCTCCCCCCAAAAGTCTGAGTCTCCATTAATGACCATCCCCGCAGATGGTGCACAATTCACTCCATTGGTGTCATGATATTACCCTGCCCCCTCCCACTCACCATCGATACCGTCGGTTTTCTATTTTGTTATACTTGTAGCTACTAGTGTGTTCTGCCTTTATGTTGTGCTTACTCAGTTTATAATACCGTTTGCTGGATGAATATATCTTGGTGCTTGTTTTCCATTCTTGGTGATACTCGCTTGTGTTAGTAGTATTGTGCTAATCTGTATCATTGGTAAATATATAGAGATGGTGCTATCTTATCGAGTCTATTGTTTTTAGGTCTGATATGTATCCCTTTATGTTGGTTAGTTTGGTTTATCATAACCACTATGTTATGATACCTCTGTTGTGATGGCAACTGGTGCTTGTTTCCATTAGCTCTTGTGCAAATATTGAATTGTGCGTATAATGACTTTTCAATTTGCATTGTGTTGGGTGTCATAATATGTGTGTTTATTTTTCTATTAGTATTAGAAACATGTTCGTGTGTGATTCGGGGTTCAGTCTGTAAATAAGAGTTTATTTATTTCATGTGTGGCCTGATGTGGTGATGGTGTCATGTCGTTTGTAATCTAGTCACTCTGGTGATGTTGGCCGATTGTTCGGGTTGATCGTGCTCGGGTATATGTGTTCGGGATTGTGAATTTTGTACTTCAGTTCTCTGAGCAAGAGCTATGACCCTCGTCTTCTGATTATAAATTAGATAAGAAAATAATTGGCAACTAATTATTTATGTATAGATATTATTATATATTTAGTTCTGTGTCATGTGGTGTTGCTCGTTTGTGTTATCCTGTAGTCCCATGGTACGTTCGGTTTTGTGAGCTGAGCAGGAGGAGTGGTGATGCCCAGAGTTATGAGTGTGCTGTGATGCTTGTAGTGTTGATGCTATTCTCCTTTTTTTTGTTGTTCATCTCGTTAGTCTTGTGTTGCATAACGATTGCGGTAGATTCTGTTCTCAAAAAAAAAAAAAACATCTTTAGGTTGTGTAGATGATGTGCTATAATAAAAGCCACACACCTTGTAAAACTGTTATCTGGTTTGTGATTAATGTGATGGCAGCAGAGTTAAAGTTACCCTGAGTAGAAGAGCGATGACTCTGTCTAATGCTCGTCGAAAAAAAAAAAAAATCTTTAGGTTGTTGTAATGATTGCATGAATAAAGCCACACACCTTGTAATAACTGTTAATCTGTTTGCTGCATAATGTGATGGCAGCAGAGTTAAAAGTTACCTGAGTAGAAGACAACTCTTCTATTCGTTGTTCCAATTTTTTAGCAGTTTGGTTTTTAAGCCTAGCTCATGTTCCTAAAACTCTGGGTTATTTTTTTTATTGCACTGATTTTTATTGGTATTTCTTCAAACCTCCCATTGTCTGTTATGTGAAGCATGATGTTTTAAACTTATTTAGACATTTACCCTTTTTCCCACCTGCAGAGCTCCGGAAATTGGCTTCAGTCCTGGTCAGCGACTGGATGGCTGTCATCCGCTCCCAGAGCAGTACTCAGCCTGCTGGTAAGCTCCTTAGCCCTTCATCCCTGTGTTTCTTTCCTTCCTACTTCGGTGTGGCCTTCAGGTGCTCCTAGTCTAAATCCATCCTTCTTTCCTTCCTTTCCTTCTTTCTTATTTATTTATTTAAGAGACAGGGTCTTGCTCTCGCTCAGGCTGGTCTTGCAACTCCTGACCTCAAGCGATCCTCACGTCTCAGCCTCCTGGAGTGCTAGGATTACAGGCATGAGCCACCGCACCCGGCCAAAATCCTTTTTCTACTTTGTTTTTCCACAACAGAGAAAGATAAGAAGAAACGTAAAGAAGAGGGAAAGAGTCGAACCACCCCTCCAGAGCGACCTTTGACTGAGGTAAAGGCTGAGACCCGGTCTGAGGAGGCCCCAGAGAAGAAAAAGGAGAAGCCCAAGTCTCTTCGAACCACAGCACCCAGTCACGCCAAGTTCCGTTCCACTGGTGAGACTGAGGGCTGGTTTTGGGAGAGTTCATAGGCACACGCATACCCGTGCCTTATGGTGTAATAGTTTGATGTGTGATGTGTTAAACCTGTGGAAGAGGGAAGACCCATGGAAGAAGCTTTGGGTGGGTTATACAAGGAATATTTGTGGGTGGGAATGGGGAGGGAAATTCAGGGCGGTGGGAGTATGAGTTCAGCTACCCATACCATGTCTCATTCCTCAGGACTAGAGCTCGAAACACCGTCTTTGGTGCCTGTGAAGAAAAATGCCAGCACAGTGGTGGTTTCTGACAAGTACAACCTTAAACCTATTCCCCTCAAGCGTCAGAGGTATGGACCACGGTCTGGGTTTCTGAATGGGGTACTTCTGTGGACACGAGGCAGAAAGAAGTGAGTCAGAGATATTGTTAACAGTTCCTCTCTCACAGCTCTGCAGCTGCTCCAGGGGATGCTGCGCTCCCTGCAGAGAAGAAATACAAGCCACTCAACACAGCACCTAACGCCACCAAAGAAATCAAAGTGAAGATCATCCCGCCACAGCGTGAGTCTAAAGTGGGGGAACCTGCTCTGAATTTCGAGCAAACTCTTCATGGGAATAAATGTCTAGGGAAGGGGAAGGTTTTTTCCTTCCACTTTCCTTTGATTTCTTGGTATCCTTTTACATTTCACGCCTCTGGAACGCCCCTTTCATGAGGTCACTTAGGAGTGATTTTAGAGATGAGTTAGGGAGATGCGCCTTGCTGTGACTGGTCGGGGCACCTGTCAGGATGATCTGTCGTGGTCAGAGGGGCCTCACTTCATCAGTTACCTGAGCTCTAATTCACATCCAAAGCCACAGCTTGCCTGCCAAAAGATAGCTAGAATAACGATGAGAATTTCCTGTGTGACCCTCTTGCATATGTTCCTGGCCACCTTGAGCTTTATTGTGTCCTAAGTTGAGGCAAGGTCCCCATTGGCCCATTTTCTGCCTGGACTTTGTTGGAGTGGGGTGATGAGGAAAGTCTGACAATCCCATTTGATTCTCTTTCCTTTGTAGCTATGGAGGGCCTGGGCTTTCTGGATGCTCTCAATTCAGCCCCTGTTCCAGGCATCAAAATTAAAAAGAAGAAGAAGGTGCTCTCACCTACAGCTGCCAAGGTATGGGCCCTGAGAAGTAGGTTTCAGTGACAGGGTACAAAAGGTAAAGTAGAAGAAAGGACACTGTGTCTAGGAGTTGAGAAGTTTTGTCTCGGATGTAGACTGATGGGGTAGGACTGTGTTAGGGACAGAGTTCTTCTTCATAGGAACCAGTGGGGAGCTTGCCTAGGACCTGGAGTAATTACCTTGCCCCTGGCTTTCGTGTCAGCTCATTAACTTCCTTTTCTTTCATAATAGCCAAGCCCCTTTGAAGGGAAAACGAGCACAGAACCAAGCACAGCCAAACCTTCTTCCCCAGAACCGGCACCTCCTTCTGAGGCTATGGACACAGACCGCCCAGGCACCCCAGTGCCCCCTGTTGAAGTCCCAGAGCTCATGGATGCAGGTAATTTAGAAACTGGTTCAATCTGGGGGGTTTTCTGAAAGGAAGGATCTGGCTCTGAAACCTCTTCTGCTTCCAGCCTCTTTGGAACCAGGGGCTCTGGATGCAAAGCCAGTGGAGAGTCCTGGAGATCCCAGCCAGCTGACCCGGAAGGGCAGGAAGAGGAAGACCGTGACGTGGCCTGAGGAGGGCAAACTGAGAGAGTATTTCTATTTTGAACTGGATGAAACTGAACGAGGTAAGAGGTCGTTTCCTATATAATAGGCATGTACAGGAGGCTTCAGAAGGACTTGGTTGTGCTGACGTTTCCTGTGCTTTCTGCTGCTGATAGTAAATGTGAATAAGATCAAGGACTTTGGTGAGGCGGCCAAGCGAGAGATACTGTCAGACCGGCATGCATTTGAGACGGCCCGGCGTCTGAGCCATGACAACATGGAGGAGAAGGTGCCATGGGTGTGTCCCAGGCCCCTGGTTCTGCCCTCACCTCTTGTTAGCCCTGGAAGCAACAGCCAGGAGCGATATATCCAGGCTGAGCGGGAGAAAGGAATCCTTCAGGAGCTCTTCCTAAACAAGGAGAGGTGAGCAGAGTGGGCTGCCTGCCCTGGGAGGTTGAGCGCTTGAGCTCTTCAGGGGAGCATGACCGGGGGGATTGAGAAGGGTTGGAGGTTAGAAAGAACTTTGAGGGCCTGAATAAATAATGTGACTGTCATTCTTCTTCTCTTTTTCCATCACCTGTGACATCCCTGATAGTCCTCACGAGCCTGACCCGGAGCCCTATGAGCCCATACCCCCTAAGCTCATCCCGCTCGACGAGGTGTGTGAGACGTGTGACGATGGGGGTTGTGGTGCTCCTTCATTTCAGTGCATCTTTCGCGTGAGAATGTCTCCATTCTTTTAGTTAGTCTTGACTTTTCTCCTGTTCCTTCAGGAGTGTTCCATGGATGAGACCCCATATGTTGAGACGCTAGAACCTGGAGCGTCAGGTGGCTCACCTGATGGGGCAGGAGGCTCCAAGTTACCTCCTGTTCTGGCCAATCTTATGGGAAGCATGGGTGCTGGGAAGAGCCCCCAGGGCCCTGGAGGAGGAGGCATTAACGTCCAGGAGATCCTTACCTCCATAATGGTATGTGCCCTCCTTCCCTCCTAAGTGTTCTTTCCTGGTTCTGTCTCCCATTCTCTCTGCCCTGGTTCTCCACGTCTCCCCATTTACCTGCTAATGTTTGGCTCTCCCTCTCTACAGTTGTTCCCCTTGCTCTCTGTTGACTGTGCCCTCTTACATCCTCACAGGGTAGCCCAAACAGTCATCCCTCAGAGGAACTACTGAAACAGCCAGACTATTCAGACAAGATCAAGCAGATGCTGGGTAATCTTCAGGGCCAGCCCCAGGGCCAGGGGGGGGAGCCTGCTGTGGAGGTGGGGGAAGTAGGGTTTTCCCAGACACTGAAGAGCACAGGGCAGTTGCCACTGGGCAAGAAGTGGGAGGGAAAGACGGACAGAGCATTGCTTTGCCAGGTTGATCTGAGAGGGTCAATTGAGCACACCTACGTGGGAAGTCATGCCATCTTCTCAAGTCCTCTTGCTGACTGTGTCATTCCTGTTGTCATTAACAGTGCCACATGGACTCCTAGGTCCTGGTCCAATAGCCAATGGTTTCCCACCAGGAGGCCCTGGGGGCCCCAAGGCCATGCAGCACTTCCCTCCTGGACCTGGGGGACCTATGCCAGGTAAGTGGGTGGTGGGAGTTGGAATGGGCTTATCTGCTTCATTTCAGCCTAGTGAAAGTGTAGGATCGACCAAAAGCTGGTAGTTTCGGCTGGGAGATAGCTATTCCTGAGTGTAACAGGGAGCTGATACTGTCTCTCTCTCTCTCTCTTTCTCTAACAGGTCCTCATGGAGGCCCTAGCGGGCCTGTGGGTCCACGTCTCCTAGGTCCCCCACCACCTCCCCGTGGAGGTGACCCCTTCTGGGATGGCCCGGGTGACCCTATGCGGGGCAGCCCAATGCGGGGGGGTCCAGGACCAGGTCCTGGACCATACCATAGAGGCCGAGGTGGCCGAGGAGGAAATGAACCCCTTCCACCTCCTCCATTTCGAGGGGCCAGAGGAGGTCGCTCTGGAGGCGGACCTTCAAATGGACGAGGGGGCCCTGGCGGCATGGTTGGAGGTGGTGGACATCGTCCTCATGAAGGCCCTGGTGGGGGCATGGGCAGTGGCAGTGGACATCGCCCCCATGAAGGCCCTAGTGGGAGCATGGGTGGCGGTGGAGGACATCGTCCCCATGAAGTCCCTGGCGGTGGCATGAGTGGCAGCAGTGGCCATCGTCCCCATGAAGGCCCTGGCAATGGCATGGGTGGTGGCGGTGGCCATCGTCCCCACGAAGGCCCTGGCGGAGGAATGGGTGCTGGTGGGGGACATCGCCCCCATGAAGGCCCTGGTGGGAGCATGGGTGGAAGCGGTGGACATCGCCCCCATGAAGGCCCTGGACATGGGGGACCTCATGGTCACCGGCCTCATGATGCCCCTGGTCACCGAGGCCACGACCATCGAGGGCCACCTCCTCATGAGCACCGTGGCCATGATGGCCCTGGCCACGGGGGAGGGGGCCACCGAGGGCACGATGGAGGCCACAGCCATGGAGGAGGTGAGGATGCTTCTTGCCCCCCATAAGACTTTTGTGTCCCATACAAGATTTGGGGAAGTGGGGGAGAGTCACCACTGTGGGTGCCAGGCAGAACATGAGGTCTCCCTTTCTCCTTGGTGTCCCAATGTGCATGGCAGTTCCTACCCTCTGCCCTTCCCCCAAATCCCCACGACTCCATCTCTCTGAAAGTTCTCAGGATGCTGTGGATTGGGGTGGCGAGGGTGGCGTTGCCTTGGTTAGCCGTTTCTCATCTAATCATTCTGCCGTCATTTCCACAGACATGTCAAACCGCCCCGTCTGCCGACATTTCATGATGAAGGGCAACTGCCGCTATGAAAACAACTGTGCCTTCTACCACCCGGGTGTCAATGGGCCTCCCCTGCCATAGGGACCACCTGCCGCCCTGCCCACACACCCCCTGTGGACTGCAGCCTTGCTCCTTCCACCTTGTTATGGCTTCTGTGAGGCCCATTTCCCCTTCCCCAGCTGATGAGGAGCCAGCCCCTCAGTTCCCACCTGCTTGGGTTCCTGGGGGTTTTCTGATCACTGGTGCGCATCGATGTACATATTTTCCTCCAGTCTGGGGAGGAGAGAGACTGGACACGTTCTGTACCCTGGACTGCTGAAGAGGAGACCCAGTTGGCTTCACTTTTTGAGGAGATTCACCCTGTACCCCAAATCCCTTTCCAGTATTACCCTTACGCCTGAGAACCTAAAGCTGGTTATCCTGGAGAACCCTCTACTCCTGTCGTGGGTCCTCCACATGCACACACAGCTCTGACACAGGACCACCTGCACTTAGGAAATTGTCCCAGCCACGTTCATTATTCCGCACGGGGTGGGGAAATGGTGAAGGGGTACTGTATATGCCAGTGCACTAAGGGCTCGATCAGGCTGGGTTTGAGTTCTGCACACACATCATCTCTATTCCTCCCCTGACACGGGCTCTACATTCTGAGTCCTTGTTCAAGTAGGACGTTGCACCCTTCTGCGAACACTCAAGTCTGCATCATGGGTCTGTTAGGTTCAATGATGGCAAATTCATGTTTCCATCCAGTGGAAGCTTGAGCTGGCATAAGTGAGGCCTGTGGTGTCGGCCTTCCCTTGCCAACTACAGCCACTCTGGAAACTTCATAAAATACTTCAGTGAGACCAGCTTCTCATCAACTTGTGCCCAGCACGCTGGGCCTGACAGTCACACTACATGCACTGCCTTTGGGAGTTGTTAGCCTGCTCCTTGCCCCCACCTGGAACCTTGTCAGTGTGAGGCTTCCAGAAACCTTGCTCTGTCAGCCACTTCCGAGTCCCCACCAGGTGCCTTCCTGGTGGGTTCAACAAGATGATTTTGCCCTTTCCCAGTCCTCTCCTTCACCTGTCTTGGCATCAGTTGTTTTCTATGAAAACAGTGGATTGGTTGGGTTTTGTGCAGGGTCTTGGGTTATCGCCACAATGGATTTGAGGATGAGTATTTTCTTTTTCTTTTGGTTTTTGTATATTTTGTACATTAATAATAAACAGTGGAAAGAGAAGCAGCTTATTTAACCCCTGGTGTGTTCAGGCTCTTTTTTAAGGAAAAATGACCTGTTTTAGATACATTAGTACAATTGTTTGTGGGATCGTTTTTCATTTCCTATGAAGCTAACACTTGTTCTGCTTTCAAGTCAAAATTGGTATTAAGTCAAGTACTGGTGAAAGAATACTTTGAAAAGTACATGAAACACTCCAGGATACAAAGATCCCAGGGGATTGACGTTCTTGCAGCAGTGTGGGATCTTGGAAAGACAGAACTCTTCCCAGGGTGTGGGAGCCACAGGCTTGGTGGGTGTATTAGTTCTAGCTGACCTGCCATCCCTCTGAAGCTGTTTGGGGAAGGAATCTGAGTGGAAGGTGTGTGTAAGGAAAATCCAACAGCAGTTTCAAGGGAAGGAGGAAACAAAGGATGCTCACTGTTGATTTTCTCAAGAGCAGTTTCAGTGGAGAAAGACAAGGGAAAGTGTAGACCTCTCTTCCCAAAAATGTGGCTCTGTAGAGAAGAGGAAATAAGGCCTGCTACTGGGAGATGTAGGGTAAGATTAATTTAGTTGTAAAGAAAAGGCCAGGCACGGTGGCTCATTCCTATAATCCTAGCATTCTGGGAGGCTGAGGCAGGAGGATCGTTCAAGCTCAGGAGTTTGAGACCAGCCTGAACAAGAGTGAGATCCTATCTCTACTAAAAAAAATAGAAATTAGCCTGGGCGCGGTGGCTCACCCCTGTAATCCTAGCACTCAGGGAGGCCGAGGTGGGTGGATCACTCGAGGTCAGGAGTTTGAAACCAGCCTGAGCCAAGAGCGAGACCCCGTCTCTACTATAAATAGAAAGAAATTAATTGGCCAACTAATATATATAGAAAAAATTAGCCCAGGGCATGCGGTGGCCGCATGCTGTTCGGGCTCCAGGCTACTCGGGGGGGCTGAGGCGCGAGGAGTTGCTTGGAGCCCGCGCAGGAGTTTAGAGGTGCTGTGGAGCTAGGGCTGACACCATGGGCAGTCGACTTCTGGCCTGGGCAACAAAGCAAGACTCTGCTCTCGCAAAAAAAAAGAGAAAAAAGAAAGAAAGGAATTGGCTCGACCAACTAAAGTAAGCGTTAGTTAGGAAAAACTAGCCAGCAGACCAACAGAGATGGAAGAAAATTTTCACAGCTACCACATCTGATAAGCTAGAATTCTGAATATTGTATTTGAACGAAGTCTCACTTGTGTGCCGCGAGCGAGTGAAGTGGCTGTAGCGACGTCACAGCGCGAACGACCTCAAACTCGCTGGGCTCAAGCGATCCCTAACTGGCTCAGCCCTCCTGAGTGCTGGACTACGCAAGCGCTGCGCCACCGTAATGGGACACCGGCCTAACGTTTTTTCTATATATGATGCTAATTAGTGGCCAATTAATTTCTATTCTCTTCATAGTAGAGGATGAGGTGCTCTCGCTCTGTGCTCAGGCTGGTTTCGAACTCCTGACGCTGCCGAAGCCAATCCACCGCGCGCTCGCGGGCCTTCCCCAGAGTGCTAGGATTTACACGGGGTGAGGCAGCTCGGCCTACAATCTATTTAGAACTCAGGAAAATCAGCAAGGAAAAAACAAACAACCGTATCAAAAACTGAGCAAAGGGACCACTGGACTGAAACCTTCCAAAAGAAGACAGAATAATGCGCAACAAACATATGAAAAATGCTCAACATCTCTAATCATCAGGGAAATGCAAATCAAAACCACAATGAGATATCACTTATCTCCAGTGAGAATAGCCCTTATTAACAAGTCCCAAAACAATAACTGCTGGCGTGGATGCGGAGAGATAGGAACACTCCTACACTTGCTGGTGGGACTGCAACTAGTTCAACCCTTTGTGGAAAGCAATATGGAGATACCTTAAAGCGATACAAGTTGATCTACCATTTGAATCCAGTAATCCCAGTTACTGGGCCGATCCTACCCAAAGAGAACGAAAGTTCACTAGAAAAAGACACTGCAGCTCGAAGTTTAGCGGGCACAGATTCACATTACTGAAGATGGTGGAATACCCAAGTGCACCGGTCAATTCGTGAGTGGATTAATAAAATGTACATGTATATGGAGTACTATTCAGCTATAATAAACAATGGTGATCTAGCACCTCTTGTATTTTCCTGGCTAGAGCTGGAACCCATTCTATTAAGTGAAGTATCCCAAGAATGGAAAAACAAGCACCATATGTACTCACCAGCAAATTGGTATTAACTGATCAACACCTAAGTGGACTTATAGGAATAACATTTATCGGGTGTCGGGCAGGTGGGGGAGAGGATGGGTATTTACATACATAATGAATGTGATGCACACCAACTGGGAGATGCTTCAGTGATGCTTCAAGCTTCACGCTTGAAGCTCTGACTCGAGGGGGGAGGGGGGCGCAAGGGCAATATATGTAACCTTAACAATTATACCCCCACAATATGCTGGAAAAAAAAAAAGAAAACTTAGCCGGGCATGATGGCACATGTCTGTGTCCCAGTTACTTGGGAGGCTGAGGCAGGAGGATTGCTTGAGCCCAGGAGTTTGAGGTTGGCTGATGCCATGGCACTCTAGCCTGGGCAACAGAGTGAGACTCTGTCTCAAAAAAAAAAAAAAGAATAGATACTGAAGGCCTAGCTGATAGAATTGTTGGGAAGGCAGGAGACCAGAACATAAAAGGACAAAATAGAGGAAGTTCTGCTTTTTTTTTTTTAAAGGAACCACTCAGACTGGGTCCTCTCCCTTTTACTCCCTCCAAAAGGGAAAGAGGAACGATCATCAATGGCAAGTGGCAGTTGCAGCGAAGCAACACCAAGAGCCCAAAAGCCGGCTCCATGCTCAGGAGAGAACACTGCGCCTCCTCCTGGTGGTTTCCTTTTTTTTTTTTTGGTTTTGGCCAAAATTTTTATTTAGTATTCAGTAGTTGTTTAACACACACTTAAATGCTTTTACTGGGGGAGGGGAAAGGGGAGGTTCTTGCAGATTCTCAAGGAAATGTCAGAAAGGCAAAATATGGCCAGCATTATCCATTTGTTTTGGGTTTACTGGGTGAACAGCACTTTCCTTACATAGGCATTTGATCTCAGGTTTTTCATACTGAGAACATTTTGATTTCAGTTTGAAGACACCCTGAAATCCTAGAAGTAGCATACCCAACCACCCTCTAATACCTACTTGTTTGTATAGGCAGAATGATTCATCTCTCCATTTTAGATGGCTAGATGTTTGTGGAAGATCTCAGAATTGCTTGCCTCATTTACTGGGAAAAATCAGATAAGTGGCCTTTAGGGACACTTTTACTTGGAAAATTGCAACACTAGTACAAGTCTTACACATTTAACATTTGGTTGTTGAAAGCAAAGTCATAAAGTCAAATAAAATTAAACATGTTTTACTTTTTTCCTCACAAGAACATAAAAATTATGGAGGGGAACTTAACAGGAAATTTGAAAAAGGTAACACAATTTTTCCTTTTAGTAGTCCTTGGGTAGTTATGATAATAGTTTCCACTTTTTGTTTTTTTTTCTTTGAACAGGGATTTTTGGTTCAAAGTTTTGTTTGTTTCTAGTGTCTGCTTCTGCCTCCCCCTCTATCAGATCAGCTTCCTCCACGGCCACCACCTCTTGGTGCTCCGCGGCTTGAACTGCTGTAGGAATCACGTGGAGGAGGGTACCCCCTTTCCACAGAAGGGGAAGCCCTCTTTCTTGTCTGCCAACCCGATCACGACCACTTGAGTAGAGATCACTTCGGCTGCTTGAGCAACTGTCTCGACTTCCACCATATCCGTCAGGTGAGCCGCTGTAATCGCCCAACTGCTTCCACCATAAGGTGGCGGGGCTCCTGTAGGTGGAGCACTACGTGAGCTGCCACAACTCTCATGTGAATCTCTGTGGGAGCCTCCACTTGGATGATCTGAATAGTCACCATCACGGCCACATCCATCTCTATCACCATAGCCTCTTGATGGATAGTCATCACGTGAACTGGAATGACCATAATCACGGTAAGTATAATCTCTTGGTGGTGGTGCATAATCTCTGGTATCACGAGAACTTGGGTAATCTCTGCTCGAATAGCTGTCTTTAGTAGAATATCCATCATCTCTTGGGGACAAATGAACATCTCTACGAGAGGGCAGGGGTTCCCTTCGAGGTGGGCCTCCGTAACTATCTCTTCCACGTGATACAGGAGCTCTTCCTCCCATTCCGCTGCTGCTGCGAACTGGTCCTGAAGGGGCAGATCTTTTAGGAGGAGGACCTCCACTTCGTGGTGGTCCTCTTTTTACTTCTCTAGTTCTTCTGGAAGAACTCATGTTAAAATCCATGGAAAAGCCACCATCATCCATGTGCCTTCCCCGTGAGGAAGGTCCCCTGGTTCCTCTACTTCCTCCTCTTCCACCCCTAATACCTCTTGGAGGGCCTCTGCTTTTTGGAGGTGGAGGTGGTCCATGTCTACCACTTTCAAATGATGGTTTGGTGGCTTGTTCCACTTTGATGGCTTTTCCATCTAAAGACTTTCCATTCATGTCTCGGGCTGCATCCTTAGCATCTGCTGGGCTTTCAAAGGTGACAAAAGCAAATTCTCTTGATTTGTTGGTTTCTCTGTCTTTCATTAAGAGTACTTCCACTATTCGTCCATATTTGCCAAATACCGCTTCAAGGGCTTTCTCATTTGTTTCTGTATTAAGCCCATCAATGAAGAACTTTCCTGGGCGATCTGCTTCAACCGTTTTTGTGAGTCGGAGGCGCGACTATGGTTTCAAGCTCCTACGAGCTCGCTGCTGGGATTCCTAGCAGCTCAGCACGGGCGGCGGCTGCCGGGCTCAAGGACGGAACACAGAAGCCGCTAGCACTACTGCGCAACCAGAGCCTCCTCGTGGTTTTTGGTGTTCTACACATTCAGAGAAACTTCTTTAGTAACGAACTATAGAAATGATCCCTGAAAGTATAGTCTTTGCTATTCTTGAAACCAAAATTTAGGAGTATATTATACTGTAGGTGTGTGGGGGGCAGAGACAGGAAGGTGGGGATATTAGGAGGTAGGTTGAGAACAGTGGTTTCCAAATATTTTAGTGTTCCATCAGAATCACCTAAAAAGCTTATTAGGGGCCGGGCGCAGTGGCTCACACCTGTAATCCTAGCACTCTGGGACGCCGAGGTGGGTGGATCGTTTGAGCTCAGGAGTTCGAAACCAGCCTGAGCAAGAGCGAGACCCTGTCTCTACCAAAAATAGAAAAGAAGTTCATTGGATAGCTAAAAATATATAGAAAAAATTAGCCGGGCATGGTGGCGCCTGCCTGTAGTCCCAGCTACTCGGGAGGCTGAGGCAGGAGGATCCCTTGAGCCCAGGAGTTTGAGGTTGCTGTGAGCTAGGCTGATGCCACGGCACTCACTCTAGCCTGGGCACAGAGTGAATTTGTCAAAAAAAGAAGAAAGAAGAGAAGAAAGAAAAGAAGAAGAAGAGAAGGAAGGAAAGAGGAGAAGCCAAGAAGGAAGGAGGAAGGAAGGAGAGGAAGAAGAGAAGAAGAAGAAGAAGGAAGTAAGGAAGAAAGAAAGAAAGAAAAGAAAGAAAGAAAGAAAGCAAGCTTATTAGGGCCAGGTGTGGTTGCCCAGGCCTGTAATCCTAGCACTCAGGGAGGCTGAGGTGGGAGGATGGCTTGAGGTCAGGAGTTCAAGACCAGTCTGAGCAACAGTGAGACCCCGTCCTTACTAAAAATAGAAAAATCAGCCGGGTATGTTTTCCGGCACCTGTAATCCCAGCTACTCGGGAGGCTGAGGCAGGAGAATTACTCCAGCTCAGGAGTTTGAGGTTGCTGTGAGCTAGGCTGATGCCACGGCACTCTAGCCCGGGTGACAGAGCAAGACTCTGTCTCAAAAATAGATAGATAGATAGATAGATAGATAGATAGATAGATAGATAGATAGATAGATAGATAGATAGATGAATAAAAAGCTTATTAGAAGACAGATTGGGAATGGTGTCCAGCAACGTTTCTGATTCAGTAGGTCTGGGATGGATCCCAAGATTTTGCATGCCTAACAAATGTCCAGGTGTTGCCAATACTGCGGATCTGGCAAACAGAACACTGCCCTAGAACCGTGGTCCCTGCCCGGGGCCGCGCAGCAGGGGGTGCGCGCCGGGCCAGCCGGCAAAGCTGCATCTGTATTTGCAGTGCTCCTGCCGCCGGAATCCGCTGCCGGGCTCGTGGGGTCAGCAGGGCACTAGAGCCTCACCGCGGCCGGACCCTTCCGTCGGCTGCGCGAGCGAGCGAGCGAGCGACCTCGCGGCGCTCTCGTGAGAGTGGACGTGAGCACGAGTGCGGAAGGTCTGCGGCGGCGCTCTCGTGAGAGTGGACGTGAGAGTGTGCGGCGGCGCTCTCGTGAGAGTGGACGTGAGAGTGGACGTGAGAGTGGACGTGAGAGTGGACGTGAGCACGAGTGCGGAAGGTCTGCGGCGGCGCTCTCGTGAGAGTGGACGTGAGCACGAGTGCGGAAGGTCTGCGGCGGCGCGCAGCCCGCGCCGCTAGCGCAGGGGAGCCGCTGCAAGCGCAGATCGCCAGGAGCGCAGACGTGTGTCCAGTGGCTTCATTATCGGCTATAATGTAATGATAGAAATAAAGTGCACAATAAATGTAAGGCACTTGCATCACCCTGAAACCAGATCTGTGGAAAAATTGTCTTCCGTGAAACCGGTCCCTGGCGCCAAAAAGGGTGGGGTCGCTGCCCTGCAACTGTGGCCCCCAAGCCCCAGGCCCAGGCCCAGCAGGAACTGGGCCGCAGGTGAGCGGCGGGCGGCGAGTGCAGCCCCGCCTGCACCGCGTCGCCGCCGGGCCGCCCGTCAGACCAGCGTCGGACCCCGCGGGAGCCGGCCGCGCGACCTGCGGTGCAGGCCCAGGTGGCGCGCGCCCGGAAGTCTAGCGCCTGAGGGTCGCGCGTGGAGCCACGCGGTGAGTCCGTGTCAAACCCTCTTACAGGAAGCCGGTTCTGGGGTCAGGAAGTGGGGGACCGCTGCCCTGGCACTCGTGTCTCGGCTGTCATGTCCAGCGTTGGCCACATGAGGGCGACGCTTCCCCTCTCACGGGGTCGCTGCGTTTCGCGAGGACGCGGGCCAGCTTTGCTGCCCGGGCCTGCTCGCCGCAGGGGTGGGGTGCGGGGCTCAGGTCAGGCCCTCGTTGCTCTGTGCCGGGGAGACATGAGAAGACGACATCATCTAAGAACCAAGCTAAGAGGTGAAATACCAAAGAAATACACAGCTCAGGTGAAAAAAACCGAACACATTACAACTCTGCTGTTTTCCTTCCGGTTCCATCTACTTACTGCCTGCTTCCTCTTCCCTCTCTCCCACAGCAGGCTGCCGAACTGCAAAGTGAGCTTAAAGGTTTTTCTACATTTTTTTTCTTTTTTTTTGAGACAGAGTCTGGCTCTGTTGCCCAGGCTAGAGTGAGTGCCGTGGCGTTAGCCTAGCTCACAGCAACCTCAAACTCCTGGGCTCAAGCGATCCTCCTGCCTCAGCCTCCCAAGTAGCTGGGACTACAGGCATGCGCCACCATGCCTGGATAATTTTTTCTATATATATATTAGTTGGCCAATTAATTTCTTTCTATTTATAGTAGAGACGGGGTCTTGCTCTTGCTCAGGCTGGTTTCGAACTCCTGACCTTGAGCAATCTGCCCGCCTCGGCCTCCAGAGTGCTAGGATTACAGGCATGAGCCACCGCACCCGGCCTTTTTCTACATTTTAATTTAAAAATGAGTTCAACCATTTTCTTTCAAATTCTCCATGAAAATCCAAAGGAAGCTGTTACTTTTTACTTATACAAAGAAAAGATTTTCTTTTGTCTTTTGGGGGGCTATGGGCAGGCGCAGACAGGCTGAGCACCTCATCGATTTCACCACACCCACTGACCTGCTTCCACTGCTTCCCCAAGCCCTGAAGGCACCTTTCCCTCTCGTTTCAGTCAGTCTGTCCTTCCTTCCTGCTTCCATTTTTCCTTCCAAAATACCCTTTCGATGTTAGGAGTTCTCTTCCTGTCAACCCTTCTCCAGGCACAGGATCTATCTCCAGTTCTGAATTATCATCATTTTATTTTTCTTGTTCCTGGTTCTGGGCAGCAAACCTAATGTTGCAAAATCACGAAATCCCACTATCTTGGTCCCAGGCAAATTAATATTAGCATTGGCTCAACACTGCTGCTTGGCAAACTTCTATGTCTTCCTGGTTCTCTGGCTCCAGAACTGCTGAGAAAGTGAGTCCCATCCACTGTGAGCACCATTTCCCCTTCTCGTCACATGAAAATGTCCGAGTCTACATTATTTTCCTTTCTTTCTTAGATGAAGAAGAGAATTCCCTTCTTTCCAAAATAATATTGAACTGTTCTTCTGGCATCTCCTGTCTCCCCCTACCCGCTATTCACAAGCAGCCAGCGCAATTATGTACAAATGAAAACTAGATCAACTGATATTCCAGCTGCAATAGCACCAATGGCCTCCCATTGCTCCTAGAGTCACATCCCAACTTCCTATCGAGGCATATTATAAGGCCCCAGGTGTAGTGGCCTCTGCTCAAACTCTTAAGCTCAATTCACATTCCTTGACCATGTCCAGTTATTTCCAGTGTCTGGGTCTTTGCACATTCTGGTCCCTTTCCTGAAAGCTCTTCTTTCCTACTTATCTGGCTGGCTCCTTCTCCAATTCAGGCCTTGGCTTTATTTATTGTTAGTTCCTCTCAGAAGCCTTCCCTAATCACTTGAATTAAAAGGTGACCCTCCCCTTAGCACCATATCTGTACCTTTCAACACTCCCCAAAGGCACCACTGAGTTCCTATCTTTGCATTTTTTTTTTTGTTTTAAAGAAGACAGGGTCTTGCTGTCACCCAAGCTAGAGTGCAGTGGCACCATCATAGCTCACTACAACCTCAAACACCTGGGCTCAAGCGATCCTCCCACCTCAGCCTCCCAAAGTACTAAGATTACAGGTGTGAGCCACGGTGGCTCACCTATCTTTGCACTAACAAACTCCTAGGTGCTGCTCCTGCTGCTGGTACGAAGCACTTTTGAGGACCAGTTTCAAGTGTCTTGGTTGTTGCAGTCAGCACTGGCCACACAAGGGGAACTCCTTACACTCTCAGGGCATCTTTGAGTTCCCTGTGGCCACAGGGCTCTTTCCTGGTTTCTAACTTTCTCACTAAGTTTCCCCTAACATGCCGCTCATGTATTCCTAGCACAGCCCTATTCTATCATGCCCCTATAGGATGGATTCTTTGGCCATCTTGGCCACATTTTACAGATTTTGGAGGAAAATCCAAAGACTGGAGTCAAACAAACAAGGGCCATGATCATCCCAGTTCTACCTCCCCGTGGGCTAGGCACCCTGTGCAGGCCATGCTCTCTGGAGTTCCTGTTAGAAAGGGGTGGAGAAGAATCACTATTTTTTTTTTTTTTTTTTTGAGACAGTCTCACTCTGTTGCCCAGGATAGAGTGAGTGCTGTGGCGTCAGCCTAGCTCACAGCAACCTCACACTCCTGGGCTCAAGTGATCCTCCTGCCTCAGCCTCCTGAGTAGCTGGGACTACAGGCACGCGCCACCATGCCCCGCTCATTTTTTCTGTATATTTTTAGTTGGCCAATTAATTTCTATTTTCAGTAGAGACGGGGTCTCGCTCTTGCTCAGGCTGGTTTCGAACTCCTGACCTTAAGCAATGTGCCAGCCTCGGCCTCCCAGAGTGCTAGGATTACAGGCATGAGGCACCGCGCATGGCCTGAATCACTACTTTTTAAAAACACTCCTGTAGTGCTCATTTTGTACCATGTTTGTGCATGACTTGCAGGCAGTAAAGGTTGTTTTAAAAATTGCTGTCAGTGAAATTTCCATGTACTACCATGTAAATTTTTTTTTCCTTTTTGTGTTTCATTTCTATACTGCTTTTTTGGAGAGGCCCATTATTTAGGTGGACTTTTTTTGAGACATGGTTTCAGTGTTACCCCTGGCTACAGTGCCGTGGCGTCAGCCTAGCTCACAGCAACCTCAAACTCCTGGGCTCAAGCAATCCTCCTGCCTCAGTCTCCCAAGTAGCTGGGACTACAGGCACGTACCACCACGCCCGGCTAATTTTTTCAATTTTAGTAGTGGGTGTCTCACTCTTGCTCAGGCT